CAGAGAATCTGGCAGCCTCTAGAAGCTGGGAACCGCAAGGATATAGTGTCTCCCCCAGAACCCCAACGGCAGAACTACACCTTGATGTTATCAGGGAGATGCTCGCTGGCCTTCCACCCTCCAGAACGGTAAAAGAGGAAATGTGTTTTTAAGCCACGAAGTTTGTGGCAATCTGTTACTGCAGCCCTGGGAAATGAATGCTCTCCCCAGCTGGTTAAGTAGAGGATATGGCAGTGTCTTCAGAGCCCAGGCTTTTAACAGCCACACCTTTCCTGCTCTCCCCAGGGCCCCATGTCTGTCACCTATTTACTGGGTAAGGAAAACTTTTAACACCTTCCTGTTTTATTTAACTTGTACAATTACATAGGATATTTTAAACAATTCAGTTGTTAGGAAGATAAGTATCAATAGCCAACTTCACTCTTGGCCCTGCGCCTACATAAGCAATGCTAGATTGTTTTTCTCCTGCGACTGTAATCATACGCTCCACTTTAATGCAATTTGATTCTTTTAATTAAAATGTGTATCTAGGATTCATAGCTTTAACTCGTCCTTGGAAATAGTGTATTATCGTCTGTAAAAATGTATTTTCACGTATGAACCGCTCTCACGGACTTATCTTTCAACGAACTGCCCTGCCGCATCAGTGAGACACAAAGCGAGGCCTCTGCGGTCTGGGGGCTGTCGGCCAGGCTCCGCCCCCCGCGCTGAGGCCGCCAATCAGCTCCCGAGACGGCTCCCTTCTCGCCTCCCTCCTCCTCCCGCCCCCAGTCCCCCCTCTGCCTGCGAATTTCCACGTCCCCGGCCGCGTCATTCCAGGTCCCTTCTCACCCGAGAAGCCCCTTCCTCTTGAAAACGGCCGCCGCGTCCTCCTAGGCAGCGCTCTCTGCCCCCGACCGGCACTGCAGGGCGCATCGGGGCGAACGGTGAGTGGGGGGCAGCGACGGATTCTGTACAGGAGAGGCCTGGCGGTGACAAGGCCTCAGCCCGGACCGCGGTGGCCTGGACAGGGACAGGGGGCGACGTGGGCGGGGTTGGGAGGTGTGAGGACTGGTGTGGGGGGCCTCCGCGAATACCCAGGGAGGGCGGCAGACGTGTTCCAGAGGATTCCTTGCTGTTTACCTCCTGGATCTTTCTTTGGCTTCTCCCTGCAACTGAGTCTCTGCTGCCTTCCTGCCGCAGTTTTTCACCGTTGCTTCTCAGGGGGCGGATGACCCTCTATTACTGTGTGCGCGCGCGCATGCGCACGCGCGCGCTCCACAAGAAAACAGATTTTAGCTAAAAGGAACCGTGGAGACTATGCCATCTCACCTCCTGGTGTCTTGCTCTTGGATTATTTGGGTGTAGCTTGTCTCTGCAGAGAGCCATCCACCCTCAAACCCCACCCCTGCACGATGAAAGTTCTCACCTACCCAAGTGCTCTACGTGCCCAGGGCTCCGAGTATGGCTGTGGTGGGGAGGGAGGTGCGGGGCGCGGAAGGGGTGACAGTGGGTTCAGGGAATCAGGTGGACCATTTAGTCTGGAATGCATTTGGCCTGAAGCAGTATATGCAGGATTATACGGTTCCCAGGTAGACAAGGCCCAAGCTGGCCACTGAGTTGGCTCAACCTTCCATGAAGGGGGAAGGCATTAGGTACAGAAGAAACAGATCTACGAATTGGATAATCATGGAAACTTACTGGAAGAAGTGTAAGTCTAACTAGACATAAAGGACTAAATAAATGGTCTGTCAAGCTGATCACTGATCCATCCATCCATCTGACCATCCATCCTTTCATATGCCACACTGTTCCTCAGTTGACTTTAATACTTTGCTTTGGTTTGACGTTTTTTCTAATTTATTAATGAGGTATATAAAACATCTAAGCATCTAAAGAATAATGAATGCCTGACTGCCTCCTAGGGCAAGAAATAGGACATTGCCAGACTTTAGAAGCTCCCTCTGTATCCCACTCAAGCCTCTCCTTCTGCCTTCCAAGAGGTGACATCTCTCCTGATTTTTGTATTAATCATTTCCTTGCTTTTCTTTATACTTTTGCCATTTATGTGTGTATTCCAAACACACATATGCGTGCTGGTTTTCCCTATTTTTTACTTTCATATGAAGGCATTATAGTGTACATATTCTTAAATTTTCAAGATTCACCCTTGATGAGTCCTTCATTTTCTTTGTTTATGGTATGAATATACTATATTGATCTATTCTACCTTTGGGGTTTTGTTAGTTTGGGATATATATTAGTTATCTATTGCTGTGTAACAAATTACCCCCAATTTGTTAATGCTTAAAAACACTTAGCAGCCTAAAAAAAAAAACCCCAAAACTTATTATCTCACAGTTTCTGTGGGTCAGGAATCCCTGAGGAGCTTAGCTGGGAGACTCTCACTCAGTCTTTCCCCACCCCCCACACCCCCCACAGACTGTACTGACTGTAGCTACAGCAAGGTATTGGCTGGGGCTACAGTCATCTCAAGGCTTGGGTTTGAGGGACCCCCTTCCAAGCTTATTCACATGACTGTGCACAGGCTTCCTGGCCTCACTGGCTTTGGTTGGACACCTCAGTCTGTTCTGTGCCACATGGGACTCTGTATAGGAGCTAGTCACCACATGGCAGCTGGCTTCCCCCAGAAGAAAGGCTCCTAGACACAAAGAGAAAGACAAAACCCAGACTCTTTTTGTAATCTAGTCTCTAAAGTGACTTCCCATCATTCTTGCCATCTTCTGTTTATTAGAAGTGAGTCACTAGTTCCAGCCCACATGGGAGAGAAGGAGGTTACACAAGACCATGAATATCTGGGGACAGAGATTATTGGGGCCCATTTTAAAGGCTGCCTGCTACAGGGGATATTAATAAATAATTCTGTTTTCTAACATTCTTGTCTATGCCTTCTGGTTCACATGCACAGGTTCCCTGGAGTATCCACCCAGGTGTAAAATTACTGGGTGATAAGATATGTGTTTGTTCAACTTTATTAGATTATTAGGTTATTTCCAAGCTTCTTCCAAAGTGTTGAGCCAGTTTGCCCTTCCTGCAGCAACAGATGAGAATTCTTGTTGTTCCACATACTATCATAACTTGAAATTATTAAATTTCATTTTCGGCCAGTCTGGTGGGCATGAAATAACATTCCATTGTGATTTTAATTAGCATTTCTCTGATAATTCATGAAGTTGACCATCTTTTCAAATATTGATGAGCTCTTGTGCTTTCTCTCTGTGTAATGTGATTCCTTCTTTTTACTTATTTCATATTGAGTTATTTGTCTTTCTTATTTACTCATTGGGAAGCTTTCTTTATATAACCTGGACTCTAACCAACCCTTTCTTAGCTATGGATGTTGCAGAAATCTGCTTTCAGTTTGGTGCTTAGCTTTTCTTTCTCTGTATGACTATCTCCATTAACTATGTTTTGAAATTTAATTTCAAGTTACCAGTATTTTCTTTCATACTTTGTCTTGTTTGAGAAAATTGTTTCCTCAAGGTAATAAATTAATTTTACTATATTTTCTTCCAAAAACTTTCATAGTTCTGCACTTGGCAATTTATCTTAATCCATCTGGAAATTAATTTTAATAGTTTATTCCATATGGATAATCAATTGTCCCAGACCTAGTGATCTGCATGAATCAAGTTTTTCATGTATGAATGAACTTGTTTTAAGCTCCCTACTATGTTTCATAATCTGTCTAGCTCTGCATCAATACTAAATTGTTTTTAACTAGTGTAGTTTTATAATAAGTCTTGAAATCTGGTAGGAAACATCATCCCACCTCTTTATTCTTCTTCAAGATTGTTTTAGCAATTCTTGGACCTTTCATTTCCATATAAATATTTTTAAATAAATGTCAAATTTTCCAAAATAAGAAACAAACAAGCAAACAAACGACCTCCTGGAATTTTGATTGATACTGCATTAATTATACATGTCAATTTGGGGAGAGATGGCCTCCTTGAGATTTTGAGTCTTTCTATGTATGAACTTGGTATTTATGTAAATAATGTATTGACTTTAAATACTGATATTTATTTAGCTTTTAATATTTTAAATGTTTTATATTTTGTTTTCTTTTTGCTCATTTTTGTTAATTTATTTCTAAGTACACCATATTTTTACTATTATAAGTGTTCATTAAAATTTTATTTTGTAGCTAATTGTTGCTGGTGTATAGAAATCCAGTTGCCTTTTATATGTCATTATATATCAAATTTAATAAACTCCATTAATAATTCTATATTTACATATACAGTATTTCACATTTGCTACACAGCCATATCATCTGGAACTAAACAGTTTTTTCTTACTTTCCAATACTTATACTTTTAATTTATTTTTTCCTGTCTAACTGCATTGGCTAGGACCTCCAATATAATATTGAATAAAAGTAGGGAAGGGCATCTCGTTTTATCCTTAAGATAATAAAGAGAAAGATTTCACTATAACAACATTAAATACTGCACTCATGATGGTTTTTCTTTAAATGCGTTGTCCCAAAATAAGGAAGTTATATTCTTTTGGTAAATACTTTTATTATGAGTAGATGTTTTATTGAGTGCTTCTTCTGTGGCTATTGATTCTCTTATATAATTTTTTTTCCTATAAATATATTAATATAGTGAAGTATAGTGTTCAATCTATCACATTAAATCAACTTTACATCCCTGGAATAAACCCTCTATGATAAATATGCAGTAACTTTTATATACAGATATAATAATAAGCATCAGATATTTGCATCAATATATGTGAATTGCGATGGGACTATAATTATCCGTTTTGATACTGATCTTACCTGTTGATATCATCTCATTAAATAAGATGGGTAGTATTCCTCCTACTGCTATCTCCTACAATTTGTGCAAGAACAGAATTGTCTGGCCCTTGAATATTTCCTCATATCATCAGTAAAACCCTCAGGGTTTAGAATTTACTTTGTCAGAAGATAATTAACTTGTTAAGTCAATTATTTTAAGTATGATAGGACTATTAGGTTTTCTTATGGAGTCAATTTTCATAAATGGAATTTTCCAATTTTAACCATTTCATATATATATTTAAAATCAAATAAAATGATCCGTAATATCCTCCCATTATCTGTTTAAATATTTCTATTGTTTCTCTGACTCCCTTTCATTACTAATGTGTGTGTATTTTCTTTCTGTTTTAATTTTGCCAGAACTACGACTACTTTATTAGCTCTTTCACATAAACATACACACACAAACCTTTGTTTTTTTCATTGTCACTTATTTTATTACTTCTTCCTGCTTTATTTGATTTTTTCTGTTACTTATTTTCTAAGCTCTTAAGGTATATGCTTAGCTCATTAATTCTGAGCTTTTCTTCTTACGTAAGCTCTTAAGCCTATAAATTTGTATCACTCCTTTTTAGATATATCTCAAGTTTTGACATGAATATTTTGCTGTTGTGTACATGTATTTATAATTTCCATTATGGTTTCTTGTTTGAACCATGAAATTTTTTTTTTAATTCTGTATAGGGGGACTCAATGCACAATCATTAATCAACCCCAAGCCTAATTCTCAACAGTCTCCAATCTTCTGAAGCATAACAAACAAGTTTTTACATGGTGAACAAGTTCCTACATAGTGAATAAGTTCTTACATGGTGAACAGTGCAAGGGCAGTCATCACAGAAACTTTTGGTTTTGATCACGCACCATGAACTATAAACAATCAGGTCAATTATGATTATTCATTTGATTTTTATACTTGATTTATATGTGAATCCCACATTTCTCTCTTATTATTATTTTTTATTTTTAATAAAATGCTGAAGTGGTAGGTAGATGCGAGATAAAGGTAGAAAACATAGTTTAGTGCTGTAAGAGGGCAAATGTAGATGATCGGGTGTGTGCCTGTAGACTAAGTATTAATCCAAGCTAGACAAGGGCAACAAAACATCCACAGATGCAGAAGATTTCTCTCAAAACAGGGGGGG